AGGCTGTTTCCTCAGTCACCAGTGTGTGTGTGTATGTGTCGGGGGGTGGTCAGAGCCCCCTCCCCTCCACACCCCTGCTGGTGAGCGGAATCATGTAGGGAGTAACTTGGCCCGGGGCTAGGAGATGGGGCTTCTTTTGTTGTGTTTTATAGGCAGTATTTGTTGAGCATTTGAGCCAGACTCTGTCCTGAGGGGTTTATCTCATTTAATACAGCAGCCCCGAGGAGTATCTCATTGTTACGTGTTCCTAAAGGGAAACTGAGGCTCAGAGAGTTCTCCGTGCACAACCAGTGAGTGGCGCAGTCAGGGTTCAAAGCCAGGCCTGCCTGACTGCAGATCGCTCTGCCCTGCCCTGGGAGCACACAGAGACGATACAATGAAATGGTTAAGAAGTTGACCTCTGCAGCCAGGCGGCTGGGGTTCCAGTTCCAGGGCTGCTCCTTCCTAGCCGAGTGATCCCCACAGATTAATACTCAGCAGTTCTGTGCCTTGGCTTCCCGTCCTGTGCAATGGGGGTGCACGATGCGTTAGCCGTGATAGCTCAGCGCTTGGTTCATGACAAGTTCTTGATGAGTAATTGGATCCCAGGCTTCCTGCCCAGGAGCCACACTCACGGAGGGGGCCAGGTTTGCAAATGTCAGGTTCGAGGGACACCGTGCATCCTGGCTCTGCTGCACCGCTTGTTTTGAACACGTGAATTTGTTCCAGCAGGACAGTTTGAACACTAACATGAGTCCGCATTTGGCCGCCCAGGCGTGGTTTCACCCACGAGAAATGCAGGGAACACGCAGAAAACCACACTGCATAGAAATACCCAATGCCTCATGAGTGCGCCCTTAGTTCCCCATGTGCTTGGGAGCCACGCCCACCCATACCTGGCAGCACAACTCCCCCTCCCCCTTCCTGCTTCACAGCAACCCACAATGTGTATAAAACTGCTAGCACTTACACTACATGCCTCTTTTTTTTTTTTCCTAAAAATGTGACTTTGATGCCATTTTCTCCATAAGCTCTGACTTTTAAATGAAAGATTTATTTATTTGGCAGGCAGAGTAAGAGGGATGGATAAGAGGAGAGACAGAGAGGGATCTTCCATCTGCTGGTTTACTCCCCAAATGCCCTCAGTGGCTAGGCAGGGCCACACTGAAGCCAGGAGCTTGGAATTCCACCCCAGTCTCCCACATGAGTGGCAGGGACCTAAGCACTTGAGACATCTCCCGGTGCTTTCCTGGGCGCATTGGCAGGGAGCTGGATTGGAAGTGGAGTAGCTGGGACTTGAACCAGTCCCATAAGGGCTGCTGGAGTGTCACAAGCTGCAGCACGATGCCAGCCCCAGCTCAGATCTTTGTTGCAGAATTATGCACGACACCGTCATTTGGAGGGCTGCATATTTCACCCAAAAGCACCATTGTTTACACTGTAGGCTGCACAAAGTGGAGAGGCGAGGCAAGGTAGACGGATGGATGGACACATCGAGGGCAGGCCGTGAATGGATGGGCTGGACAGAGAGCCCATGAGCTGCTAAACCTTTCTGAAACACATCACCCAGAGCCACCCTGCGGCCCGTGCGACCCTTTAATTTCTAATGCCTTTGAGACTGGCCATCCACCTGGAACAGAGAATGGCAGCAAGCCCCTGAATAACCCAGTTACTTCTTTTTATTTTATTTTTTTTGACAGGCAGAGTAGACAGTGAGAGAGACAGAGAGGTCTTCCTTTTTGCCGTTGGTTCACCCTCCAGTGGCCGCTGCGGCCGGCGCATCACGCTGATCGAAGCCAGGAGCCAGGTGCTTCTCCTAGTCTCCCATGGGGTGCAGGGCCCAAGCACCTGGGCCATCCTCCACTGCACTCCCGGGCCACAGCAGAGAGCTGGCCTGAAAGAGGGGCAACCGGGACAGAATCCGGCGCCCCGACCGGGACTAGAACCCGGTGTGCTGGTGCCTCAGGCAGAGGATTAGCCCAGTGAGCCGTGGCGCTGGCCCCCAGTTACTTCTTGAACCATTGGGAACTCAGCGAATCCAGGGGCCCAGCCATGCTCAAAGATTACTAATAAGACAAATAAAGCTAACAGGATCTGAGATGCAGGAAATCTCATTTCGCCATTAACATAAAATAAAAGGCTGGCAGAGCACGCACTGTAATCTCGTCTCGGGGCTCTGCTTCTGCCAGCGGGGCTCCTGTCCCCTGGAAGAGCCGCCTGCTGCAGCCCTGCCCCCGTCGCCCTCCAGAGGACCTGGACTTGGTCTCAGGTGTTTGGGTGCTGCCCCTCCTTACTGGTCTGGAGTCAAATCCACTGTGGGAACCCCAGGGAGGAGAGGAGGCTCTCCCGGGCACACTGCGGGCACCGGAGGCCATGTGTGTCCCCTGTTACTCATTCAGCAGACAGAGTTCATGGGAGGTGCCTGCCATGAGAAAACGACATGGATTTCAAAACTGCTCCGAAACAAGTGTCTTTTAGTTTCATTTCTGCACGAAATTTTTGAAGTTCACTTGTTCCCTGTGTGCTGAGCGCCTGGCCACCGGTATCTCATGGCCTCTCTCCAGCACTTCTGCAAGGCAGTTACTGTCTGTTCCTGTTGTATATGTGAGGAAGATGCCGCTGTCCAAGGTACACAGGGTCCGTGAAAGCCCAGTCTTAGCCACTGTCTTCTATTTTCCCAGTGTAAGACCAACTAGAGGGTTTGCCAGAGAAAATTTGTCGAGTTCCTATACATGTGGTACTTAATTCAGCAATAAGCTCGTTCCTTTCTCTCTCTCTCTCTCTCTCTATCTCTCCATCTCTCCATCTCTATCTTTCTCACTCCTTACAGAGAGATTGCTCTCTTCTACTGGTTCACTCCCCAAATGCCTACAGTGCCAGGGTCTCCCACCTGGATGGCAGAAACCCAATGACTTGGTCCATCACTGTTGCTTCCCAGGGTCTGCATTGGCAGGAAGCTGTAGTCAGAAACCTCAAGAGCCAGGTATTGAAATTGAACCCAGGCACCCGATATGGGAAGTCGGCATCTGCTGAACACCTGCCACCAGAAAGCTCTTTCATACTCCTTGGCTAAGAGATCCTACGAGCAGAGAGCTTTGACACTGCACTGCCCAGGCGGGCACTGGCCAACTCAATGATTGTCCTGGCTGGCGTCTATAGGGTTGAGTGATCACGTGTGCACTGAGAACACTAATGGAAGCTCAGAGACAGTGACTACTTGTCAAAGGGCACACAGCAAGCAGTGTGGAACTGGTGTGACTGACTTTGGAGCCTCCACCTTCCTTCCTGCTCCAGTGAAGACCGCGGGGTGGAGTCTGTGGGACCTCTGGCCAGCAGGGCCAGCCACCACTTTTGCCTCCTTCCTCCTGTCCCGTGGAGCCTGTGCTTAGCTCCTTCAGGGTTTCTGGGGCATCAACCCCGTTCCTTGGCAGCTGGCGAGGCACCCTGGGATGGGAAATCAGGCAGCCGCCCAGATATTAGAAACAATTACCGCTAATTACCAGGCTTGCCAGTTCCCCTTTGTCTGCTCACAGTCCCAGCAGGATCGCAGGGGCAGACAATGCCGAGTTGGAGGAAACTTTCCATTTCCAGCTCGGGAAGGCCTTGCAGTGCCTGGGGGGTAGGGCTTACCCCCATGCCTTGGAGCCCAGGAAGCCCCGCCATTTCTCTGGCATCAGGAACCCGGATACTCCCAGATAGCCAGAGGGCGTGGTGGAAAAAGAGACCCAGGGTACAGAGGCAAGGCCATGTCACCAGCTCTCAGGGAGTCTAGTCTTAGCCTCAGTGATGTTAATTAAGAGGCTATGGTTGGGGCAGGAGCTGTGGCCTAGCGGATAAAGCCGCCGCCTGCAGTGCCGGCATCCCATATGGGTGCTGGTTCTAGTCCTGGCTGCTCCACTTCCAATCCAGCTCTCTGCTATGGTCTGGGAAAGCAGTAGAGGATGGCCCAAGTCCTTGGGCTCCTGCCTACGTGGGAAACCAGGAAGAAGCCCCTGGGCTCCTGGCTTTGGATCGGCGCAGCTCTGTTGCAGACAACTGGGGAGTGAACCAGCAGATGGAAGACCTCTCTCTAATCTCTGCCTCTCCTCCTCTCTCTGTATAACTCTAACTTTCAAATAAATAAATAAATCTTGAAAAAAAAAAAAAAAGAAGAAGAGGCTATGGTAGGGCTGACATTGTGGTACCTTGGGTTAAGCCGCCACTTGCGATGCTGGCATCCTATATGGGCGCCAGTTTGAGTCCCAGCTGCTCTACCTCTTCTCCAGCTCCCTACTAATTCACCTGAGAAAGCAGTGGAAGATGGCCCAAGTGCTCGGGCCCTGCTACCCACATGGGGGACCCAGATGGAGTTGTGGGCACCTGGCTTTGGTCTGGCCCAGTCCTGGCTGTTGTAGCCATTTAGGAAGTAAATCAGTGGGTGGGAGATTTCTGTCTCTGTCTCTCCCTCTCTGTAACTCTGCCTTTCAAATAAATAAATCTTTTAAAAAAGTGAGAGAGAATGTCTATGGTTTTGTAAAAACGAGGCAGGGGTGGGGTGCACATTTCAGTTCCCAGACACCTAGGTGACTTTTTTTCCCATGCTGTCTCTACACAAGAAACACGGTCGCAGAATTGTTGAAATGATGGACTCAGAAGTGGGGCTGCCTGCGTGTACATACCTGCTGCGCTTTGGTCTTGCTTTCACTTTTTCCAGAAGCAGACCCTGGCGCAAAGATTGAAGTGGAAGTAGACGATCAGGCGACCCCAGGAAACACGAGCAGCAGGAAAGGAGGGGGAGGGCCGGGAGCCAGTCAGGATGCCTCAAGCCTGTTAAGTCTATGGGCAGCCCTGGGGGTCCATGCCGGACACCCAGCCACGTTATCCCACCCAGCTGTGGCCAGCCTGCCCTGTGCTCAGGCTGAAGGTGCTGTCACAGCCAGCAAAGCTGCCTGAGACCCAGAGGGAGGCGTCAGAGGTTGTTCAACCTCTCCCGCTGACCCGTGGGCCCCCGGGAACGCCGGTTGTCTCATTTCTTCTTGCAGCCTCAACTATGGGGGAGTGTGCCTAGCATCAGACGCCCAGTTCAGTGACTTCCTGGGCAGCATGGGGCCAGCGCAGTTTGTGGGCCGCCAGACCCTGGCCACCACGCCCATGGGTGAGTGCCCCTAGATCTGTTGCAGATGGCTGGGGTGGGGGCGTCCCCTAGAGTCCTGTCCCTCATCCCCTCTGCCTGTGAGCCTGGAGCCTGGTGCACACTCTGCAGCCCCAGCAGGGCCCTTGGCCTTGGCGAGGGAGTTGGTTCTGTCTGGCTTTGGGCTGGGGGCGGGGGTGGGGGCTGGGGCGGGGGTCTCGTCCTGAAGCCACGAGGAGTGCTGAGTCCTTGCCCGAGCTCCTGAGCCCTTTCCCAGTCTCCTGTCTTGGGGCTCTCCCAGGGGATGTGGAGATCGGCTTGCAGGAGCGGAACGGCCAGCTGGAAGTGGACATCATCCAGGCCAGGGGACTGACAGCCAAGCCAGGCTCCAAGACACTGCCAGGTAAGGGGGCTGCCCTCCCCCACTGAAGGCCAGGGAGAGGTCAGCAAAGACATCCCAAGGGGCATCCAGGCTCTAGAAGGGAGAAAATTGGGTCCAACTTTGGGGAACCCCCTCTGCTCAACTCCAGTGTGTTAAGGTTTGCTTGGGGACCCAGGTGAGATTTTTCTATTGAACTTGTTGGTCTGCCCCACTGGACTAGGCCCTTAGAAGGCTGGGATTGTCTTTCCTGTCCATCATTACACCCCAGTGCTTAGTAGGGTGCTTGGCGTACAGTGGATGCTTAGCAAGTGTGCAGGGAGCGGGTCAGCACGTGGATGATGAAGGCAGAGCAGGTGTGGGCGAGTCGTGGGCTGCGAGAGGAGACAGATGAGTGGAGAGTGAGCAGCAAGAGAGGCAGGACCACCCCGCTCTGGCTCTGCCTGCCAGCCACCCCCACTTGGCCCTGCTGCTCCTCCCCAGCGCCCTAGAGGCACTCCAGTCCCCAGCAGTGGGTGGGCACCCTTTGTGCACCGTCTAAGGAGCCAGACTAACCTGTGTGCCGCCGGCCTCTGCCCACAGCCGCCTACATCAAGGCCTACCTGCTCGAGAATGGTGTCTGCATTGCCAAGAAGAAGACCAAAGTCGCTCGCAAGTCGCTGGACCCCCTGTACAACCAGGTGCTGCTGTTCCCTGAGAGTCCCCAGGGCAAAGTCCTGCAGGTGAGAGCCACTGGCACACATGGGTGTGCATGTGTGCACACGAGTGTGCCAGAGTGGCAGGGAGGGGCCCCGGAGAGCCTCGCCTGGAGGAGATGGAGCGCCGTGGTTGACCTGAGTGCCGTAGCTGACTGTGTTCTTTTGAAAACCTTTTGGAGCGTCAGCCTCTCCATCTGTGAAGTGGGGGTATTAATGGGACATACCTGATGCCATGGCTATGACGGAGAGCTCTGCTGTGGGCCAGAAAAGTTCTTGTAGGTTTGTTTCTGTAATAAGTTCTGTACCAATGCCAGCCATCACTAGCACCACCACCACCACCATCATCATCATCATCATCACTGTCATCCACTTCTAGAAACTGAAGACACAGGCATGACAGCCTGCGGACCTGGGGAAGGTTTGGTTCCAGCCATTAGGAGGACTCTTGTGGTCGCTCAAGCTTTTTTTTTTTTTTTTTAAGATTATTTACCTGAAAGGCAGAGTTATGGGGGGAGATCTTCTATCTGCTGGTTCACTCCCCCAGATGATCAGAGCTGAGCTGATTTGAAGCCAGGAGCCAAGAGCTGCCCCTACTCCGGTCTCCCACACAGGTGCATGGGCCCAAGGACTTGGGCCATCTTCCACTGCTTTCCCCGCTGTGCCACAGCACCAGCTCCCTGGTCTCTCGAGCCTCAAGCCAGGAGCAGCTGCCCATCAGGGGTGGGCAGGGTTGGCTTGAGTGCCCGCAGCAGCCCTGCGCCTACTGTCAGAGCTGCCCCTTGGACGCCTGGGGCTTGCACCTCAGTCCTAGCATCCACCAGTCAGGGTATCCCAGGGTACCACGAAGGTGGGACTTTTGCTAAACTGGGAGGCCCAGGTCCCCTCTAGAGCTGAGTTTTGCACCCTATGGGTGACACCCAGGGTGAGTTTGGTGGGTCTCAACAGTGTTTTCTGGAAAAGGGGACAGAATAGGAAGGAGGACACCACCGGGAGCCCAGTGAGTGCCTGTGGCAGGGCACCTGCCTCACGTGGGCGGTCCTGGCGGGCTCTGTGCCGCTGTGGAGGCGATGTCTCTGTTACTGCCCAAATGTTTGCAGGGACCACACTCGTCTGGAGGCACTTGGAGATCATTTAAAATAACCGGGAGACCACACTGGGCCCCACGGACAAAAGTCTGTGTGTTCTGGCCCAGACTTCTAGGAAATCCTCGGGGTGCATCTGTACAAGGGATGTGGAGTGGGTGGGGGTGGGACCCTTGCTGCTGGGTGCTGTGACCAACCAGGGCGGGAAGGACTGGCCCTGAGTGACGCCCCTGCTTGTGTGTGCGTCCAGGTCCCCTCCCCTCACAGGGACACGCATCACACCCTTCAGCCTCATTTCAACTTCACCACATCCTTAAAGGCCCTGTCTGCAAACATTGCTCTGCAGTCGTGTGCTGGGGCTTAGGCCTGGCACCTCTGCGTCTGGGGAGAATGGTGCTCAGCCCACGACGCCATCCCTACAGCAGAAGTGGGCCCCTGCCCAGCTACCTCGGTGGCTTGGAGGGCAAATAGTTTAATAGTCTCTGAGGCCGGCGCCGTGGCTCACTAGGCTAATCCTCCACCTAGCGGCGCCGGCACCCCGGGTTCTAGTCCCGGTCGGGGTGCCGGATTCTGTCCCGGTTGCCCCTCTTCCAGGCCAGCTCTCTGCTGTGGCCCGGGAAGGCAGTGGAGGATGGCCCAAGTGCTTGGGCCCTGCACCCCATGGGAGACCAGGAGGAAGCACCTGGCTCCTGCCTTCGGATCAGCACGGTGCACCGACTGCAGCGCGCCGGCCGCGGCGGCCATTGGAGGGTGAACCAACAGCAAAGGAAGACCTTTCTCTCTGTCTCTCTGTCTCTCTCTCTCACTGTCCACTCTGCCTATCAAAAAAAAAAATAGTCTCTGAGCCTCAGTCTAAACATCTGAAATGGGATTGATCACTTTTTGAGGGTTGTTAGCATGGACAGTTCCTGACACACAGTCAACAATGACGCCAGCTCTGTGTGCCGAGGAGGGCCTCAGGTCCCATCCTCAGTTCCCCAGCTGCAGGGTGAGCTGAGCTGGGATCATTGCACTTGCAGATGAGGTCCCAGATCTGAGTACGCAAGCAGCAGAGCTGAGAGTGGCGCCTGTGTGGGTCTGAGTCTGAGGGCTGCGCTCTCGGCTCTGCTGGATGGTGAGCCAGCCCACTTCGAAGAGGGGGACAGGGGTAGCAAACAGCAAAGGTCCTGCAGCCACAAGCCCTTCCCGCGGGCAGCCCCAAGAGGGTGTTGGCCAAGAAGGGAGGAAGGCAGGACGGGAGAAGGCAGAAGCCAGCCTGTGTTTGCTGTGCTGGCCTCTTTGTGACCCTGTCCGCTGGCGGGGGAGGGGTGCCTGGAAGCTGAGGACTAGGGCCAGCTCCCGGAGATGGGGCAAGTGGAGGTTGGAACACGGAGAGGCTGGGAGCGGAGGCAGGAAGCTGGTGACCTCAGCCCGCAGGAGCAGGGCCCTGGGGGCTGGAACGGACGTCAGATTTGAAGGAGGACGACCCCGCGGCACTCAGGTGCCTTGCGCCTGGGGCTGAGCCGGGCTCTGCTTGCTGCAGGCTTGTGACTGGCACTGGCAGGATTCCAACCGCTGTGTCTCCTGCCCCGCAGGTGATCGTGTGGGGCAACTACGGGCGGATGGAGCGGAAGCAGTTCATGGGAGTGGCCCGCGTGCTGCTGGAGGAGCTGGACTTGAGCACCCTGGCTGTGGGCTGGTACAAGCTCTTTCCCACCTCCTCCATGGTGGACCCGGCCACAGGCCCCCTGCTGCGGCAGGCGTCTCAGTTGTCCCTGGAGAGCACCGTGGGGCCCTGTGGCGAGCGATCTTAATGCCGGGGGAAGGGGAGGGGCTTCCCAAGAAGGCCTGGAGATGACCCGGCCCTGACCTGGGACCCCAGGCCCAGGGGCACATTGAAGAGAGGAGGACGGGGCTCTCTCCCGCCGTGTGGGGGAGCAGACAGGGAGACCTGCCCCGCCCCGGGCCCCTCCTCACCCACTTGCCTCCTGCCCCCGAGACCTTCCCTCTCCCTGTGGGATTGGCTGCACTTTTGACTTGGCCCGTTCTTGACCTGGTGGACGTGGCTGCAGTTGGAAGACGGAAAAGACTGAGGTGGCAAAGCACACGCTCTCCTGCCCCAGCCCTGTCCAGCCCCGCCCCCTCTTCGCCTCCTTGGAAGCTCGCTGCCCGGAGCCAAGTCCAGAACCCAGCCGGCCATCTCCATGGTGCCAATTACCAGCAAGTGTCTTTCCTGCGGCACCGGGTTCAGGCAGCTACTCCTGCCCCAGAGCGATGGGGCAGCTTTGCAAGGATCCGGAGCCAGCTCCCAGGGGCCCAGAGCCCCCCGCGTGAAGAGGAGCTCGGGCCTCCCTCTGCCTGCCTGTGGAAGGAGTTTTGCCGCAGCCTGTCCGAGTCCGTCTGTCCGTCCCCTCCTGCCTGCCCCTTTTCCAGTGGCTCTGGGAACTGGGGCCCAGCAGGGACTGAAGGAAAAGAGGAAGCGCCCAGAGCCTGGCAGAGGCCCGAGGGGTGCCTTGCTCCATGGAACCGCAGCAAGCTGGGAAGAACCGTGTCGTGTGTCTTCTGGTGGAGACTGGCAAAGCAGAGTGGCCCTGAGTTTCCAGAACCCAGGGTGCAGGCAGCTCACCACGTCTGCACTGCGGGGGTGGATTGGAAGGGGAGGCTGGGGAGAGCTGGGAGTGGGCCTGGTGGTGCCAAGGGAAGGGTTTCCCACCTAGGAAAACCCATCTGTGTTGGATGAGGTCATCTTGTCTACCCCTCTGCCTGCAGGCTGGGGGTCTGGGGAGGTAATAGAGCCCCCCCATCTATTTTAGTCTTTTTAAACCATCCATCCTGTGCTGAGGGCAGAACCCACTGCCCGGCCTCAGTTAACCTTGGCTCAAGGAAAGGTGGTGGGTGGTAGGGGAGGGAGAGGGCAAGGAGGGCTGCGGTTAGAATCGGGGGTCCCTTATCCAGGAGGCCCTCACAGCTGCCTTCCTGGCCCCGCCCTCCCTGGGGCAGCGGGAGCCCTTTTGCATGCGAGGGAGGATGCAGGCGGCCCCTCTTCATAGCAGCACATTTCTGCGACCACCCTGGAGGTACCCAGTGGCCTCCTCTCCTCTGTACCTAGTCCCTGCTGTGTAGGGCGTAGTCCAGGTTAGCTGGGTAGAGGTAGTGTTCAAGGCCTGTTCTTAGCTCATATGTAGTCTTTAGAGTCCCAGGCTGGGGTGGAGGGGAGACCCAAGTACATTCCAGGGGGCCATCTTCTCGGCATTGGCTTGGGCCGGGATCCGGCAGGCAGCCTGGCTCCCTGGAGGCCGGCCCCTCTGCCCCTCCCCTCTCTTCCTGCCCCCTGCCCTGTAGGGTAGTAGCTGGAGCTACCCATTATACTCAGATGTTCTGATTTATTACCCTTGGTACTGATTTTCTTTAAGAGGCATTGCTGAGGGTTGCCCCGGGCTTTACCAAGGGGCCTGGTCTCCACAAGAGGGCGCTGTTGTCCATGGAGGACACTGGGCTGTTTGGATCCACCCTGTTCCCTGTCCCACCGGGTGATTCCTCTCCACTGCCTGGTTGAGCCTGGGGTGCTGCCAAGTTCGGATCCACTTGGATGCACTCCATGGAGCCACCTGTGCTGGGCCGGGAGGGTGGGTGGAGAAGCGCCTTTTATGCCAGAGGGCTTCGGAGCTTCCCGGGACTGGGCTGGGGGCAGGGCTGTGGATGGACTTGCTTCAGAGGCCCGGGGTCCGTCCCTCGCCCCTTTGGGTTTCACCCACGCGAGTTCTCACTGTTTATTACTCACCATTTGGAGTATTTTGAGCCAGGAGAGCACCTTTCCCTGGCCGTCAGCTGTGGTTGTTCAAGGGGGCTCTTTGTAGAGATGAGGCAGAGCTTGGCTGTTCCAGCAGGGGGCGGAGGAGCTCAGGGCTGCCTTGCCCCCCCCCCCCCAAGTCTGCACAGCCTTTGAGAGAGAGAGGATGTGCTCTAAAGCAATAACACCCTGGGGGCGGCCTCCGAGGGCCCCCTCAGTGACTTTCTTGTTTGTTCTGTGACATCTCCCCTACCTCCTGGAGGGGTGGGGTGGGGGCTGGAGCCCTGTTTCTTCTTCATATCCTTGTTGTGAGCGCGTGCCCCCCCCCAAGGGGCTGTGACCACTGGGTGCGGGAGCCACTGTGTCCTCACCAAGGGATGGGGCCTGGGGTGGGGCAGTGGCTGTTTTCATTGTTAGCTTTGCGGGCCCTTGAGCCCAGCCGCTGTCTGATCCTTTGGGGCCCAAAGGCCACCACCTGGAGAGGAGCAGAGAGGATGGGGCTGGGGCCTTTCTGGGGCCCGGGGTGTCCGAGAGTGATGCTTCTTTCCATCTCGGGGGAGCCATCTCCACGTTCGTCCTCCAGAATCCTCTTTTTATCCTGGAGGGAAGGGGCCTCGGGAGCCATCACTCAATCCCATTTTACAGAGGAGGAGACCAAGACTCGGCAAGGGGAGAGCCGCCCCTTGGGGTCCCTGCGTGCTCTGGCACCACCAGCCTGGGCTGCCATCTCCCAGCAGAGGCTGGGCTGGAGCCAGGACAGGCTGAGGCGGGTCACTCGCCATGCTCCCTCCTCCCTCTTTGGAGCCATCTAAGGACACATCATGGCCCATCTGAGAAGTTAGGAGTCCGAGGCCTGGGAACAGAAGTGACTTGGCCAAGGACCCCACTCCCCCCAAGCAGATGAGCCAAAGGGGCAGAACTAGGAGCTCCCTAGGGCGTCTCCTGCCCTGCAGCAGGAGACCCCTGCCCAGGACACATGCGCCACGATCAGTGTTTCCGACCTGGGAGCCCGGCTGCACAGCCAGCCCTGTTGGTTCCATCTCTGGGCAGGTTACTTTTCTGGGCGTGGGGGGTGTGGGGAATGGTTGCCAGGGAGACCAAGCTCTCCAGGGGCCCTGCCCCAGCTGACTGAGGGTGTGCTGGATTTGACTAAGGCCTTACTGCCTGCATGGGGGTCCCCACCCCCTCCTCCAGCCGCCATAATGTCTCCAACACCAACCACAGGGAGAGTTTTTTGTGTGTGTTTCTTTAAGCACCGGTCCGCGGCGGGGACTGGAAGGAGCAGGGGCGGTGGTACTTCTCATCTTAGGGATCGCTCCCCAGACTTGTGGATCTGAGAGACCTGGCCTTCTGGGAGGGCTTTTACCTGCAGTGCCCTTTGACCCTGCTGGCAGGCGGAGGCCTGTGTTTCTGTTTCTGCCCCATTTTACAGAGCAGGAATCCGAGGTCTTGGGAGGGGGGACTGCTCGCCCCCAGGTGAGCGAGCAGCTGAGCCAGGGCTAGAACTTGGTCCCCCGGCACCCAGAGCTTGCTCTTCTACGCCAGGAGGCAACAAGGCGGGCAGCTCAGGCGGTGCCCTTTGTCCGGGGAGTCCCCATCCAGCCCCATGAGCCAGGAGCTCCTGGGGCATTGTGGGCTCAGACACAGCACAGAGTCCCCTCCCTTCGGAGGCACAGCTGTTGCATCGGCAAGGTCACCTGCGTTTATTTATTGAGTAGCACTGCTGTGCCAGGCCCCGTCCCCCTGTAGTGACCCCCAGGCCTCTGAGGGGCCTGTGTCTGCCAAGAGTGTGGACACAAAGCGTGCCCGTCCACAGGCTCACCTGGCTCGGACCCTCACCCAGCATCCTGGGAGGACAGACTGGAGGCTTGTACCTGGGGCCACGGACACCGCCTCTGAAGCCCTTTCACTCCACGGCCGTCCCCTGGAGGGCGGGCAGGAAGGCAAGAGCCTGGGTCCTCAGGCTGGGGCGTCTCCAGCCCCCACCTTCCCCACTCGCCAGCTCCAGGAGCAGGTGCCACCCAGGCCTTGGGGGAGGGGGGGTTTCTGGGACCCCTGGGCTGGAGTGGGTCACACTGCATTGTGTTCATGCCCATGTAGCTCATGTTGAAAATTAAAGTTTTTGGCTTTTCTAACTTGGCTTGCTCTTCCTTCATGTGGAAATAGTTCTGCCCAGGCGGCTGAGTGCTGCTGGGATGGCCCGCAGGGGCCTGTCCAGAGAGGCCCAGGGTGCTGGATGAACTCCGTCATCTTACAGATGGGGAAACTGAGGCCAGAGGACACAGGTGATGGTGGGAACCAGAAGAGAGCGCATCCCCCAGCACCCAGGTGGCGCCAGTGAGATCCGTGCCCGCAGGGCGCCCTCATGGCAAAGCCAGTATGGCCAGGGCAAAGGAGCTTCAGCTTTCCAGGGTGGGGCGGGGGTCACTCACACCTGGGCCAGTTCTGCCCCTCATGTTGGGCCAGGGGGATGAGAGGCAGTGGTCTGTGCAGAGCCACGACCGGCCCACTTGCTGAACGCACCACAGTGCCCCTCCACCCATCTCTTGCCCTGTGCTCCCCCAGCAAGGATTCTGTTGTTGGAAGGTGTGCAGTAGCCGGACAGCAGAAAACTGGCCGCCTCACAACGGAACAAAATGGCCACCCTCTCTGCTGCCCGCCCCCCCAAGTGCTGATGTCAGGGCCAGCCTTCTTAGAGCTTGGACTACAAGGGATCTACACCCACCGTGCGACTGTAGGGTACGGCTTTTGCTTATGATGCAACTGTAATGCGTCTCTGGAGAGGAGCAAGGGGACTGCCACGGCCTGTCACCCCTCTCCAAGCCCCAGATGGGAGGCGCACTGATGGCTGAAGTCAGACCCTCCGCACTGGAGTGAGCGCAGCCTGGGTCAGGCCATCAGACGGACTTTCGCCTGGCCCGGGGTCTGTCTGCCCGGCTGCCGCGCTCGGCCCCAGGACTCGAGGGGGGCGAGAAGCTCGGGTTGTCGCGGGCCCCTGTCTCTAGCCGGTGGACACAGTGGGAACCTCGGGCGCGGGCTGGGCAGCGGGGCCGGCTCGCGGGCGCCCCCAGATGGAGCGGGCCCGCGCGGCGAGCGGCACGTTCGGGTGGATCGGTGCTGGCGGCGAGGAAGCGCAGGACCACGAGGTTGAGGAAGGCGCCGATGACTGTGAGCCCCAGGAGGATGTAGAAGAAGCTGAAAGCCACGTAGGGCAGCTTCCTCTGCAGCGCCTCGTCGCTCTGCAGCGCCACGAAGTCTCCGAAGCCGATGGTGGTGAGGGTGATGAAGCAGTAGTAGTAGGCGTGGAAGAAGGTCCAGCCCTCGAAGTGCGCGAAGGCGGCGGCGCCGAGGGCCAGGGTGGCGACGCACACTAGCAGCCCTGCCGCCGCCACGGTCTCCGCCGAGACGCGCTCCCGCCGCAGGCCCAGGCAGCGCTTGGCCGCCAGCAGGACGCGCTGCACCTGTGTGTTCAGCCACTCGCCCAGGCTCTGGAAGGTGACAAGTGTCAGCGGGATGCCCAGCAGCGCATAGAACATGCAGAAGACCTTGCCCGAGTCCGTGCCCGGCGCGGCGTGGCCATAGCCTGTGCGGGGGAGTGGAGGGGCCGCAGTGAGCTCCGACAGCATCCTCAACACGCCGGAGCCCGGCCGCCAGTCTGCCCGCACCCGTCCCAACCAAGTCGTTCCCACTCCCTGCCCTTACACCTTGTGTGGTGATTCACAACCAACCGGATTGTAAACAGCCCCAAGGCCGGCCCGGTGCCTGGGGGGTGCACAGCCTGCACTACGCTCCAACATGGGGAACTTGGGAGGAGGGGACAGAAAGGAGTGGGTCCCAGACATAAAATGCTACACGGAAGAAACCAAAAAAAGCCACAGGCTTCCTGGTCCCACTGAAATGGCAGGGCCAGGGCACAGGTGCGTGGCTGCCAGTTGCTGTATGGGAGGAAGGGTTCGCTGTGAAAGGGCTGGTAGCTGGCCAGGGCTGCTTTGTGATGCCAGGGTCTGCCAGAGAGTGATGACTGTCATACGCTAGGTACGCTGCATGGGTTATCCTATTCAACCCCCCGCCCCGTGACTATATGGGATAATCTCATTGGCTCCGTGTTGCAGATGAGGAAACCGGGCTCCGGTCCTCCGACATGAACCACCATCCTCCCTTCTGGCTGCCTCTCCGAGGTCCTGGGCTATGCAGCTGGCTCTCAGCAAGACTGCAGCTCCAGCCGACGGCCCCCGGAGCACAGTGGGTGGGGGCGCCCCTGCTGGCCCGAAAAGGAAAAGCTCCCCAGATGCGTGTCAGAGGGGAACAGCCAGGAAAGGAGACCTGACCCAGGCGGGAGGCCTGGGAGAATGCGGGGGAAGGCAGAAGAGGTGCAAGGGGTCCCACCCCAGGCAGCACAGAAAGCCCTGGGCTGAACCCAGAAGCAAGGGTGCCAGACAGAAGGAGGGTGCTGCGACCGGCACCTAATGCACAATGCTTCCTCCGCCTCAGGCACTGGGCCGGTCATTTTAGCTTGATCTCATTCAGCCCTGGCACCCACCTGGCGAGGTGGGAACGAGTGGGTTCGGTCTTTGCGGAGAGCAGGGCTCAGAGAGGTAGGGTCAGCTGCAGGAGAAGACGGCCGCCTGGAGCGCAGAGCTCCATTCTGGGTGCCTGGAGGACAGGGCCGCAGAACCCTCGGTTCACCCCGGCCTTGCAAGAGCCTGGCTGAGAAACTTTCTCCAATGCAAGCGCTTCCCGCTGGGTCCGGAGCCCAGGGGGCGGGGCCGGCGCTAGCCGGGAGCCCTGCAGAGCCGGCCTCTGTCCGGATCCCGACTCCCCCAGCTGTGGCTCACCAGGTACCTGCGGGACAGCAGGCGCGGCGACAGCTGGCGGGCCAGCCGCGGCCGCGGAGTTGCTGTGGCTCCCGCAGGGCGAGGCCCCAAGCTCGCGGTAATCAGTCTTCCTCGCCCGGTATTAACAGAGGCTCGCTACACCCCAGGCACCGGCCGCACGGTGCTGGCCGCGACAGCCTCGGGCCCATAACTGCTGTGAAACTAAAGTCCGTCCCTCTTTGTCGTTTGTCCCTGAGTTGGGCCCTGCGCTACAACTTCCTCCATGAATTCTCTCCTTGGCGATCGTCCCGCCCTGTGGCTCAGGGAGGGTTAGCAACGCGTCTGGGGTCACACCGCGAGGGCCAAGCAACTCCGGCCACCTGCTCTCGAAGCCCCGCTGCCTCCGCCCCTTCGCCCCCCGCCCCCCCGCCCCCTGCCCCCGGGGCGTCTGCGGAGCACTGCTGATTGCGCCCGGCCCTGCCTGCGTGGACGGGCAGCCCAGCTCTGCAGGGGCGGAGGTGGGACTGAGCGCGGCTCACCGATGGTCGTGATGACGGTGATGGCGAAGTAGAAGGAGCCCGCGAACTGCCACTGGCGGCCGGCGCGGTGCGGCTCGGCCTGCAGCGCCAGGCGCTCCAGCTCGCGGTAGTCCTCGGCCGAGAAGCCGTACTTTCTGCGGAACTCGCCCCGCTTCTGGGCCAGCAGCCGCCGGCGGCCGCTCTCCGCCTCTGACTCGAGCGCGTCGAATACCGCGGCGCCCACCAGCAGGTAGGACAGGATGCACCCAGTGAGCGCCGCCGCGCGCACGCTCTGCGTCCTCATGCCGGCGTCCGGGGACCCACGCCCGGGCTGCGGGCCGCGGCGGATCCGCTCCATACGCCCCGACGGCGGCGCGGGCTCCCTCGGCAGCCCGCGCGCTCCGCCCCCGCAAGCCCCGTCCCCGCGCGGCGGGAGAGGGAGGGGCGCGGCGCTGCGAGGGCGCCCAGAGGCGGGGCCGGGGCGCGGGGCAGCCCCGGAGGGCTTCTCAGCCACTGCCTCGCTGCCGGCTCGCGCCCGTCTGCCTTTGTTTACCCGCCCTGGGTCAGCTAACGGCGACATCCGGAGCGAAGGTCCCAGGCATTCTGTCCCCACCCCAACGGGTCCTGGGACCTCGGGCCCATTTGTAGCCAGGTCTTTCTGGTGCAGACGAAACGGGGTCCGCACGGGGATCTCCCCGGCAGGAGGGGTGGCCGCCCACAGGCCTCGCGGAGCAAAAACGCGCCGCCCGCTCGGAAGCCACCGAGGAACCGGGCTGGGGAGAGAGACTCCAGCGCCAGAAGCCGCGTGAAAGCCGAGGGAAGTTTGGCGCAGCCGCTGGGAACAGCGGGGAAACCAGCTGGCAGGAGCCCAGAGAACCGGAGGGGCGGTGGGGTGGGGTGGGGAGGGGAGCAGGACAGGCGGCCTCACACGGGGTCTTCACAGGCTCTCGTTTGGGGTATTCTTCACACCTGAAAGTCATGGAAGGACCCGCACACACATCAATGATCTATTTCTTTCCTGCTTTCTCACTCCCCTCCTCTCCCCTCCCCTCTCCTCTCCTCTTCCTTCCCCCCTCCCCTCTCCTCTCTTTCAAAGGGCTTGTGGAAAGAGAAAGTGCTTCCAGTGCCCTCCGAGGGTGGCCTGGGCTGGGGGCATGCCTGGTACTGGAGCTGGAGAGAAGTGAGGGCACCTGGGATAGTTTGGGAGGCCGAGCTGGGTGCATAGTCGGCAGTGTGGCCTTGGAAGGGGCCCCGTGACCAAGTTGCAGCCAATGGGATGTGTGCTCTCCACACCTGCAGGCCACTGCCCAGACCTAGTCTTCAGTACAAGGGCAGAGCCCCAAGGAGGTGGAAGGAGCTTGGGCGCCTGGATGACACATGGCAGGTGGCCACCGTCAGGACCGCCCATTCGGAGCTTCCATGTTTTGAGCCGCTGAGAGCCAGGGATCTTCTGTCACTGCAGCTACGGAAACCCAGGTTGGTGGAGCAGTAGGAATTGCTGGTGGCGTAGGACAGGACTCAGGGTGGCTCCTGGTCCTTGGGCTGATCAGCTGGGTATCCGGGGGTCCTTCTATTGACTCGTACCCTTTGAGGGGTCTACTCCTGACCCCAGCACCCAGCTGATGCCCCTTTCAGAGCCCCGGGCAGGTCTGCCAGGAGATGCGGGCAGAGCCGCAGGCAGCCTCACCTCAGCTATGGGGCTCCCAGCCTTCCCAGTTCTCTGCTGCAGTCTTGGCTTGCGTCATGTCCCCCCACCCCCAGCCCCCTCTGCCAAGGCAGCTCCAGCTTCTCCCCCACAGGCCC